GGCTTGTGGAAGGTCCATATGTAGTCGTGACGAGGATTAAGACCAACTCCTGCGTGACGCGGCCGGGAGGGTCCCGCGCTGTTTCGTGCGGTGCCGGACCGATGCGCTGAACAGCGTCACAAACAAGAAAAAATGGACGCTCTAAGCGGGTCATTAATTTCAGCGAGCAAAGGCAGAGGACGAAATTTTAAACTACGAATTAATTCCCGAATGCTTTCGCACACTTAGTCGTTAGAAGAGGTGAGTAGGGGCTCTAAGCGGGATAAAAATGCCACACACAGAGTCATTGGAAGAGGTTAGGAGGCGCTGTAAGCGGGATAGTAAAGATTGGCAGTGAAGCTGAAGGAGGACGCAATTCCAAACTCGAAAAAATTCCTTATATAAGACTCTGAGGACCTTGCCCACACTGAGCTTGACAAATGTGATGCATCTTACAGTTCCCACTCGCGCAGATGTGAATCTTAGCAATTCTGGTGGCACTGCATCTTCATCCGTCAATATGGCAGTTGAGCACGAAATGAAATCAATGTGCAGGGGTAAGGTGTTACATATTTTCAAAGTCTAGCCGACGCAACATAAAGGCGAGTGAAAACTCACGCTAAAGACGCCAACGGTTATTAACGGTCATCACCGCATTATACGAGATTGCAACTGGATTTGCTCACCCATGGCATACCCGTTGCCGACCCCTTTTAGCAAAAAGGTTTGAGCATCGGGAATCGCAACAGCGACAACGACGACTGCACATTAAAAGTTTTTGCAACCCTCATAGCGATACGTCAAGGTGTCGTGCACCCCTTTTACCAACATGTTAAGGCGTCGGAAATCGCGAAAGACTAAAAGCGATCACGTCTAGAGATGCTTTGATGGTCTGATAATGGATGTGAAGGTAACACCACCGTTATTGTGAAGGTGCGACAAAGGTTGCTTCTGAATTTAGAAGCGGTAGTCGTAAGAGGTGAGGAGAAGTTCTAAGCGAGTCATAAATTCCCTTCAGTTAAGATAGAGGAGGGAATCTGAAACTACGATTGAATTTGCAATCATCCTTTCGCACAGTGAGGTGTCGGAAGAGGTGAGGAGGCGCTTTAAGCCACCACTCCCTCCGACAACAGGAAACAACCCCCCCCTGTGAGTTCCGGAGAGAGAGAGAGAGAGAGAGAGAGAGAGAGAGAGAGAGAGAGAGAGAGAGAGAGAGAGAGAGAGAGAGAGAGAGAGGGTCCGAGCTCCTTGCTTTAACCCGGAAAGACATTGACAGATATTAGTTGAACAGCGAATCAAATCGAAGTTATTGGTGTTCGACAGAGCACCTTAAGGAAGCGCCAAACAGTCATTGGCTCTCTGTGCGGATTGCCAAAAGCATTCTCAGGGAACCTTGATGCGAGGTTGAAGTTTTGTCGTGATCTGTTTGGTGACTGAGCACCTTCAAAAAGTGTCAAACAATCGTTGGCTCTCTGCGCGGATTGCCATTAGCACTTGTAGGGATGGGTGTGGATTTATTTCCCGCAGGTTATTAATTTTTGGGCAGTCTTTGCAGTTGAAGTCTGCCACTGGGGCTAGTTCGGTGGGTCTGTGGTTGACCTTCCTGTTGGACCTGGATCTGTTTCGACCAGAGTTTTTCACTCCACAAACAGAACAGAACTTCAGGTCCCGCAGGTTAGCAATTGTTGGGAAGTCTTTCATGCTCAACCGCAATTGGTGGGAAGTCGGGCCTAGTCTCGCAATTTAACAGTGCCAACGAGCTAAGAAAAACTCATAGAAAATTCCGAAAATTTTAGGCTTCGTTGATTAGCTCGTGATCGTTCGAGGAAAAATATGAAAAATTAGAAGGAAACATTTTTGGTATGCGGAACTTGCCAAGATAGAGGAGCCAATTTCACATTCGGCAAGACATGACTGAAATTACAATTTTTTTCGTGATTTATCCATTTTTTTTCGATACGACAGAAGACCTTTAAATAAAATGTTATGTTTTTTGCGAACTTGCATAAATGATCAGTCTTCCAGTGACAACACAGAACGTAACCCATCATCCATTTTGGCGAACGCCTCATATCGAACCTTTAGCGACAAACAAGGTCAGCCACACATACATTCTGGCGATAGCACAATTGATTATCATTTTTCCGAACTCGCAGTTATGAACAATTTTTTGTTGACAATGCAAAAGGTAATCATTCTGGCAAATTTGTAGACATGAACGGTCTTATCACAAATGTATGGCATCCAAAGTGCGAATATGTTCGCACATGTCATAAGGAAACAACAGTCAGCATTCAGTAGAGAGTACGAGATGTATAACAAAATTGATAATCATTTAGTGCACCGCTGAATTTTATGGAGTCCGTAAAACAACTTCAAGCACACATACATTCAGTCGATAATTGGTTTTCGAATTGAGAATAAATTCGCAATTGTCATATGGAACGAACAGTCAGCATTCATTGGAGAGAAGAAGGATGGTGGTTGCGGGGAGCAGGGCACAAGAGAGGGGGTGAACCGTAAAACGGGCCGGTACGTGCAGAACAGGGGCGACACAAAATATGTGAAAGGTGGGTGGTAGGGGTGGGGGGGGGGGGGGGAGTGGGGCTTTCACACCACACAGTCTCGCTAAAGAAATAGATAAGCACGAAACAATGTGGCGACGAAGAAAAAATTATTGATATCTTTCACCAACGTCTTGCTAAATGAAGCAGAGTATCGAGTCCTACGAGCATGAGTGTAAAGAATGTCCACAAGAGGATGAAGATGTCTCATGAGTAACACAGGAGCATAACCTTGAAACGAATAAAGACAGCACGACGTTGCCGCTATTGTGGAGGACATAAGGAGAACAACCCGAAAACAAACAAAGGAAGCACAAAGCTGGGATATTCATATCCGATATCTAAGCGTCTACTTAAAAGATATTGCACCACGTGGACGGGATATTTACATCAACATTTAGGCGTCTACTTTACCTAAGCGTCCGCTGCAACCCTCTAGTTGCGTGGCAAGGAATGAGAACAACTTGAAAACAAACAAAGGCAGCACGGCGCTGCCGAAAGTCCAACGAGTAAAGTTGACAGGTTCCTCGTAATAAAAAACCCTTAAAAAAATGTTGCAGCACGAAGTTGGGATATTCACATCGACACCTAACCATTTACTTGATCAAAATGTCCACTGCAATCCGCTACCTCATCAAAACAACAGCACAGCTCGGACCTGCCGACTGTTAGACCAAGTGCGAACAGATTCGCACTTCTGTTTATGGCCTTTTGAATAAAAAGCTTCGCGTATTTTAAAAACAGGGGTGTTATTCCGAGCCTTGGAGTATATCCATCGCAATCCTCAGTCTGATGTTTGGAATGTCGCTTTGGGTTATCGGAAATGGTGGCAGATGCCCGCGTGCAAGAAAAGAAACGAAAGCGAGCATGAACACACCGCAGCTCGACCCGTCCGACTGTTAAGGGACACCATGAGCAACCACCTTGGGCGACGGGAGATCTAGTTTGACATTTTGACCATATCGATAAACTGCTTCGTCACGGAGGTATTCCGTGAAGTTTGCAAGCCAATCGGAAGAAAAACCGCCATCGTCTTGTAGGAGGGAGTCGTATTACTCCAGCCGTTGTTCGCGGACACACAATACGGTCCAATGCACTCGATTTTTATGGACAGGAATCAAGACCATGTCGTACGAGAAAATATTGACATCTTTTGTCCATCTCGCAACCCTTTCATGTCGATAGCCGCCATCGACGAGCTTGGTATAGAAAAAGGGACTGAAAATGTAAAGAGAGGGACACCCAAGCAACACAGCATTGCCAAGCAAGGCCAAGTACGACTCCACCACCTCATCAGAAAGCCATCCCCCCTGGACAAGAGTTTGAAGACTTTCTTTGGTCAACGGAATTGGACTAGCCCCTTTGCGAACCAAGGAAACCACCTCGTGGCCATTGCTGAAATCTCCGCAGACGTCCTGCAACATTCTCAAGTCTGTAGCGCTAAGCTCCTCAGTAGGCAAGGAAACGCGAAAACATGATATAACCCCAACTGCACAAACACCCACGAACAAGTGTGAGGAGTGACCAAAATCACCGGGGCGAAATGGCTAAGAACTGTCTGCCCGTTTTCCAGAAAAGTTGTATCCCCGACTGTTGAATGTGTCCTTGGCGATTAACTTAGGATACGGGTCTTTCAAGACACCCCGTTTGGCATCGTCATCAGACCCATCAGACAAAGCAGTAATGCTTTTAATAGAAGCAGCCAAATGTTTTCGCAAAGCTTCGTCCTTATCTATTCCACAAGCCTTCAGAACCCTGACAACTCTCTGGGAAAGGCGAGGCATCTGGACCCTTTTAAACAACCCTACACTTGACGACTTCTTCGGTAAGGCGGCCAATGACCTCCCTGAAAGACATTTCTCGTGCACGACTTTTAAAGGCTTCATGGGCAGGGACATTGACAACATCACACCTGTAAAACATAGAAAACAACCCATAGCCCACAAGCGTTTTTTTAAAAAGTGGTAATAGGTACATGAGCCCATCACATCAATTTGGACGAACACAGAGCTGGCTAGTGACAGATATGCGAGTGCTACTATTCACAAATCTTACCGTGCTCGGGAGCCCTTTGAGGGAAATCGCCCTCCTGTCGCGCCACTGAGTCAACGCCCACGGAGGATTCAACGTTCTGCACCTCGGCCACGACTGTGTCCAGCTGAGTCGCTACGCAACTCGATAGCTTCATGAAGCACCGTTTCCCGACCGGTACAGAGGACAGACGCTCGATCACCCTGTTCTTCACCACAACGGGTGGACAGAGAATCATGATCTTTTCGCTCTGGACCCATCTTGATGCTGACGGCCACCTCACCGCCTTCCACGGAGGATTCGACGTTCTGCACCTCGACCACGCCTGAGTCGCTAACCAGCTCGGTGGCAGCCGAGTCGTTACCCAACTCGATGGCTTTATGAAGTACCATTTCCCAACCGGTACTGAGGACAAACGCTCGATCATCCTGTTCTTCATCGCAACGGGTGGGCGAAGAATCGTCATCTTTCTGCTGTGGATCCATCTGGATGCCGACCGTCACCTCACCGCCTTCCACCACGGGTTCTCCGCCTTTCTCATCGCCATGAACCCGAGCTTCCACCACGGGTTCTTCTTCGCCTTCCTCATTGCCAAGAAGGTGAGCTTCCATGAACGTCCACTGACCTCCCTTACCGACACCCTCTCGCGTTGTGGCCACAGCCGAACGACTGTGCAGAACCTCATATGGATGCCGACCATCACCTCACCGCCTTCTACCACGGGTTCTCCGCCTTTCTCATCGCCATGAACCCGAGCTTCCACCACGGGTTCTTCTTTGCCTTCCTCATCGCCAAGAAGGCGAGCTTCCACGAACGTCCACTGACCTACCTTAACGACACCCTCTCGCGTTGTGGCCACAGCCGAACGACTGTGCAGAACCTCTTCGGACGTCCCGATCAATAGCACTCTTGCGTCGAGCCCCTTCACGACTTCGCGAGCCGGCCAGTGTTGAGTCTCCTCTTCCCGCTGCAGAGTATGCATTTCCCCCGGAGCTGCTGTACTCTTGCTGTCAGTGTCCACGGACGCACCCTCCGAAACATGACGTTCGTACTCGCTACCCCCGGTCTCCAACACTTTGCGAGACTGCCACTGTTGAGTCTCCTCTTCCCGCTGTACAGCATGTGCTCCCGGAGAGCGCTCTTCTTCCCTAGGAGCCGCTGTACTCTTGCTGTCAACGTCGACTGATACACTCTCCGAAGCATGACGTTCGTAGTCGCCACCCCCGGTCTCCAACACTCCTGCAACGGGCCCCTCCAGCACGTCGCGAGACCGCCAGTCTCGAGTCTCAACATATGAGAACGGAGCTGAGCAGGGAAACCTTGTGCCCAATTGAAGATGCGGGCGGCAGGACGTCACATTTTCTTGGCCCCGCGGAAATGTAGCGTGAGGAGCACTTCTGGCGGAAGGCCTCAAGGGCGACGTCAGCAACTCCGAATCTATTCGGAGTTTGTGGCGCTCGCCCGAGCTGAGGGAACTGGCGGTCGCACCTTCGCTCCTTCGCAATGCAGGCATCCCGCCCTCCAGGCAAAACGAAGATGCAGTTCCTATCAAGGAATGGTTTCCCCGCTCAGGAGATGTTGCCGTATGCTGCAGACGTTCGCCCTCTTCCAGGAGCAAGGTGTTGTGCACAGGAGACCTCTGCTGCGCACGACGGGACAGACTGTCATCGGCATCGGGAAACAAAGTCCTCGCAGACAAGAGCGAATCTACTCGCACTTGATTAGACCTCAGGGTGGCCACGTCTCGCATGTCGGAATCTCGACTCCCTACGCACTGGCTATCAGTTTCCCTGTACTGGGGACTCCCGGACATTCTACGCTTTCTGCCCGACCCCTTCCTGCCCGACCCCTTCCCGCCCGACCCCTTCCCGCCCGACCCCTTTCCAACAGACCCCTTTCCGTCCGACCCCTTTCCGCCTGACCCCTTTCCACTGGACGCCTTTTCTCCTGACGATGTTTCGCCCGACCCCTTTTCCGGCAAATTGTGAGCCATCTCCTCCGTCACCTCCGCCGTCTCCTTCGTCTCCTCCTCCACCCCTTCCCGGATGCTGACCGCCCGACGGAGGTTGCGGCATACGCCAGTCAATGCCACGAGACGGTGCCGTTTTGAGTGTGTAGAAAAACACTCGAAACTCCAACATATTGTCATCGTACAGCTCGTGGAGTTTCTGGCCTGCATACGCTGTGACGTCCGAGAAGCTCCTTTCGGGGTTCATAAGACTCAAATGCTCCACCAGAGCATCTCTCGCCTTTTTCTTAAATGGACCCGCTCCCAGTCTGTTCATGTCACGCCACTTGCCATCGGCTTCCTTCATTGCCATGACCCACTTTCCATTCTTTACAGCAGGTTGGAATATCCTCGGGTGCCAGACGACGTTGTGTCCCTAGACATCCTCTGACTTGAACCGGTGATGCTTGTCGAAGAAGAAGAGTCTGTCATTCTCCCAGGTATCATGGTCCCCAGGGAGCTTGTCACAAGGTTCGTAATCATAGTCTCTCTCTTCCTCCCCGTCATCAGACGATTGGTCATCGACTATTTCGCGCCCAAACACACGCTTCAAACCGGCAGGGGACGTGCTATATCTCCGAGGACCACCTCCCCCTTCATCACCAGCATGTCCAACCACCCGAGGAAGTGGCATGGACTCGAAATCGAAGGTTTCGGAGTCGCTCAGCTCCTCCATGTCTTCAGCGTCGAAAGGGTCTTCCTCGTCAAACTGCGCCTTGTAGTTTTTGAGGGTGAGCGGTTCGGCCATCAAGAAGAAAATGTGCTTCAACCTTCTCAAGAAATTCGAGACAGACTCACTGGGTGCATCGTGGTACCCATTCAACACACCGAACACCAGGTTTCTCCGGCGATTGTATTCGAGGTCGGTCTAAGCAGGCGGTCCGGGTTGGAAAAGGAAGTCCTAAACCTCCGTCCTTTTGTTCCCCGACAATTTCCAATACATGTCACGTTTGGGATCCCAGTTCCGTTCGCCGGTGGTCTGGACAAAAGAGCAATTAATGCGAGGGTCTGCCATGCGTGTCTTCACGAACTCGTTAAGGTAATCGATCATGTTTGCCTCGTCCTCCAATGCGACAACGTTCCGACCATTGCGCAGGAGCTCCCACACGACAGACGCATGCACCTTCCCAAAGAAAAAAACAGTTTGCCCAACTCTGCAAAAGTTTTTGGGTAGACCAAGTAGATGGGACGAGTTCCGCTCCCTGTCCCCGTAAGCAGGTCCACAAACATTTGTCACGCCGCCGTCCTCCCATTGGCTACAAGGGAACCTGTTCTCGTCCGCCACGTCGAAACACGCCAAAGCCTGTCCAGATGGGTCCGACGAACAGACAACTTTCGAGCGGGCCGCCACCGCGTGTTTGGCCGGACTTGGACCATGACCACGGGGAGCCTTTGTCGGGCTACTGGTCGGGAAGACTGCGACTGTGTTGTGCCAGGTTCTCCCCATTGAAAATCACGTACAGGCGATCACACTCCTCAACCAGCATATTCCCTTCCTGGACGGTGGCCTGCCTTTGTGCATGGTGCACCCACTTCTCTGTCCTGACGTGATGAACGCTAAGCCTGGCCATGCCTTTCAAGAAACTGAGCTCCCAACGAGAGGGGAAGAAGACCACAAGTGCCCAGTGCGTTGGCGACAGTGTTTGGAGAACACCTTGCAAGGAAGCGAAATCGTCTTCTCGCCAGTCTGAGAGGAGTGTGGGATCACACAAATCGAGAACGTACAGGTTGAACACGTAATGTCGCACAATCTCGCGGATCTCAGTGAGACGACTGTGGGCTTGGGAAGGCGGGCAACTGAAAGGAATAAGGCTGGTCACCCGGTTGAGCTTGTGCCATTTGATGTCCCTCACATCCCCGCTGACCCTGATCGTGTCTCAAACTTCTTCTTCTGTCCGTTGTAAGATGGAACGGACAGACTTTTCGAAAGATTTAGGGAACCTGTCATCCTCGTACATTCTCTTCGTGTCGTCGAGGGACTCCTTCTCGTGCGGAAGAGTACGTTTGCAAGTGTTCACGTACTCCACCGCGCCCTGGAAATGCTTTCGCGGCCCTGCGGCCCGAACTCCGCCAGAAGCTGCCCCACGGTCCGGAAAAAAGGGCTCCCGTAGCGCCAAACCTCTGCGTCCTCCTCCGTTTCAAGGAACAAGATGTAGTGAAACATGCGGACCATCATGCAGTCCACTTTCCTCGTCGCGACAATGTCTTTAATTCCAGGCTTATGTTGACGTTTCAGATGCCCGCCCGCCGATTGCACGAACACTCCCCTAAGTGCGAGAATGTCGTCGAGGATCGACAGTTTTTCAGCATCGGTCATGTCGGCGAGACACTGCCAACAGAACATGTCTGGCTCTCTCACGACGACGAAGAACTTGTCGTCCGCTTGCGTTTTCTTTTTGGTCGGAGGCGGCGGGACCCGGACCAGCCAACCCATCTTCGTTTCACCAGCCGCCCCTTTCGAGCCCATTTCCGGAATTGCTTGAAGACCCGGAGATTTGTCATCCACTGCCTCAATGCATTGCCAATGGCAGCGATGTGCTCCTTGTCGGCGAGCGTTGCCGCTTTGCATGCCATCGTCCAGTGTGCCCCGTTCGGACTCTTTCCCAAAAGCAGCTTTTGGAACTCGAAAAACGCTTGTTTTTCGGCCTCCTTGCCGGAAGGGTTCCCTTGAATGGCCACCGACCTTCCTTCATTCACCCATGCCTCCCGAATGTCCTCGAAAGCGGCCTTCTGTGCACGCTGCTTAGACATCTTGTGTCTTGTGTTCTCCGTGAGACTGACTTGCAAATACCCCCCGAAGTCTTCGTCGGAGAACCAGACAACTCTCGCCGGCCATGAGTGCATCTTCACAATTCGAATATTGGCTCACCGTACAACTCCTTCATAGCAGCCACGGTGTGTTGTCCGTTGATAGGGTAATAAAAGTACTTATCCTTGTCCTCTCGCTTGAAGACATCTTTGTGAACCCTCTCAGCTTTCTCCGGCCTATGCGTCACCGGCTTGTAGATGGGTGCTAGAACCAAAGGGTTTTTCGTCCAGATCTTCCCCTTTTCCTCGTGGAACTGCCTTACCATCGCATCCTTGATGTCCTTCACACCATCGCGACTGAGACTGCGGTGGTTGTAATATCTTTCCCACGGCGGGATATCGCAGACCTTCCCGGGATCGATGAGCAGTTGAACGGGGAGCTCCTTCTCCACGATCTCACCGTCATCGTTCCGCTCATATTCGAGCCAGAACGCTGCCGCTTCATCGTACTGCGTACCGACAGCCCGTTCGCCACCGCTCTCCGCCTCAGCAGTCTTCCTCCTCCGAGGTTTCTTCTGGCCATCGCCTTCTTCAACTGCCAGTTTCCTTTTGCATTTCTCCCAAGGTTCTCTCGCGGCAGCAGTGCCTGGATGAGCCCTATCTCCTCCACCCATAGCTTGTCCTTCGCGGATGGTCACACCGTCGGGCCTCCTCACTTTCTTACTTGTCGTTGCGCCCTCTTCCTTCGACAGCCTCTTTTCGACTCCTTGTTCTTATCCGCTACGCATCTGTGGCGTCCTCTTTCCCGAGGCACGTTCTCCGACGTCACCTCCATCCCCGCCAATCATCGGCTCCGAGTATCCTTTCATCCTCTTCATGCGGCGGGTTTCTTCCGCCACCTCTTCTCGCACCATCCTCTGCCGCTCGCGCTTCTTTTCCGAAGAAGTCGGCTCCCCGCCAGAGCTGTCGCGGACTGCGTCCATCCCTTCAGCCTCATTCCCTCCAACCTCTTGCCCTGATCTGCTGGATTCTCTTCTCGTCTCATCTCGAAGCGAATACGTGTCGCCCTGGCAGAAGACCTTGAGGATTTTCGGAGTACCGACCCGGAGAGTCCCTGCATCTGGAGAATGCAAGTCTGACGTCTTCCCAGGAGCATCCGGACCGACCTGCGTCTGAATGCTGCGCGCGTGCCCAGACCCCCAGCGTCGTGAATCGCACTCCTGTGCCCACTGGCGTCTCAGGGGTTTCTTGAGCCAAGTCGGACGACCCCTCATGGGCTGGCAGAAGCCGGAAAACATATTCTCGCGGAAGAACTGGACGTTCTTTCGGCACCATCAGCGCGAGATCGAGATATTCCACTGGCGGTGGAAGACGCTTACTGCAGCCATCGTAAAGCCCTTTGAAGTGACGGCACAACGGCATGTTCGAGCCGTACCCCGCGAAACTCTTGATGGGCACTATCACACCCTTAACACCTTTGTAAGGCAGTCTGCATTGGTCGTACAAGACGTTAGTGTGCAGCTTGAGCAAGCCTCCAGAAATCTTAAAGAACGACACGATAGTACCGAGAGGAAGAACGTTGTCCGCTCCCTCAGCGTCTGGAACGCAAGTGGGTCACATGAAAACAACTGGCCCAATAAGGTTCCCCTGAACAACGAAGTCCAAAAACCATTGTGCATCCCCTGTATGGAAATACGGAGGAGTAGATTGCTGAAGAGGCCGTCCTTCCCCAGGGACAGATGGCCCAGCGCTTGTGGATGTGTTTTTTGCGGACGCCATCGTACCCCCACCCGTTGACTAATACGCCCAACCTCAGACCAAATCGGATGACCGGGAGGAAAGCAACGAGGTTTTCCTAACACTACAGAAGCAAAGTGCGANCCCACCCGTTGACTAATACGCCCAACCTCAGACCAAATCGGATGACCGGGAGGAAAGCAACGAGGTTTTCCTAACACTACAGAAGCAAAGTGCGAACTAACTCAGATGACGAAATGGAGGACGAAAACGACGTAAGAAATGGGTGTTTGAAACGCACACGAAGTCACAACAATTGGGTAAAGGAGAGGAAAGATAACACTCCTCTGGCAGAGTGAGTTCGGAGGGAAGACAACAGCTCCTCGGAAAGAGTGCGAACGAACTCGCTGTCCTAGAAACGAGGAAGAGGTGGTTTATCTTCAGGAAAGTGCGAACTAGCTCGGAGTTCTGGGAATGAAGTCGTCCACAACAAGTACCGCATGGGTATCGACAAGCGGGAACCGACTCGCAGTTCTGGGGACAAGGAAACCGACGCACAAGATTGGTGTTTGAAATGCAAACGAAGTCAAAACAATTGGGTAAAGTTGAGGAAAGACAACACTCCTCTGGCAGAGTGAGTTCGGAGGGAAAACAACAACTCTTCGGAAAGAGTGCGACCCGACTCGCTGCCCTCGAAACGAGTAAGATGTGGTTTATGTTCGGGAAAGTGCGAACTAACTCGGAGTTCTGGGAATGAAGACCTCTGCAACAAGTACCGCGCGGGTATCGACAAGTGCGAACTAACTCGCAGTTCTAGAGACAAGACAACAATTGCAACCCGCAGTTCTGGAAACGTGAATGTCACGTTTAAGAAAAGGCAGCTTATCTTGGGGAAAGTGCGAACTAACTCGGAGTTATGGAAATGAAGACCTTAAAGACGCACGACATGGGTGTCCACAAGTGCGAACTAACTCCGAGTTCCGAAGACGGAGGGCAACAACTCCTCCAATAGTGTTGGTCATAAAGTGCGAACTGACTCGCAGTTGTGGAAATAAAGAACTGACTTTAACGAAAAAGGTGTCTAATCTTGGAAAAACTGCGAATTAACTCGCAGTTGTGACTCCTCGAGCAGTGTAGGTCGCAAACTGCGAACTGAGTCGCAGTTGTGGATCACTTCCGACCTCGCTGGGATGGATGAACAAAACTGCGAATTGATTCGGTCTTCTAGAAGCGGCACTGACGAGTATATATATATAAATATATATATATATATATATATATATATATGTCAGGTCGGCCACCTCACAAGGGACAGGTGAGCGAAAATCGGGAATTGATTCGGTGTTCAACAAAAACTGGGTATTGATTCAGGATTCACCATGCGCAGTGACGACTATAAGTTGTGAAGGGAATCGAGCAGCTTTATACAAACGTTATCATGGCTATGGCGAAAGGTAATCGATCTACGAAATGTGGATCGGCTATGGCGGACGGAGGTGCAGGGTGAAGAAAAGACATCAGAACACGTCCGCTGGCGAAACAACAAAACCGGGGATTGATTTGGGGTTCAACATGCGGCAACTGCGGCGTTATATCCTGCAGGTAGAGACAGGGCATCTCGGAATTTGTTCGAACATCGGACACAGAATAGGACAACTGAAGTTACTGAATCTTACCTTCGTCGTGCGTTGAGCGAGCGACCAACGTCGGACGGATATGGATGTACGACCACCGAACCAGATATGGTGGAGGGATATCGAGCTACGAAGAGCGAATCGGCTATGGCGAATGGAAATCTAGCCACGAAGAGCGAGCTACGGAGAGTGAACCGAACACAATGCGGCAACTGCGGACGGAGCGAAGAGCGAAGAGCGGACGGGCTATGGCGGAAGGAGGTGGGGGGTGAAGACAAAATATCAGAACCCGCGCGGAAGCGATAGCGCGACTTGACCTGTGGAGCGGCAACAAAAGGGATAACACAAGGGCGGCAACGCCTTTTATACTTTCCTGCAGCAGGCCTCGCGTCGGGATCAAGGTGGGGCCGTATCGATTCACATATCTCACGCCTGGGCCCATAAGCCGCCAGGGCCTATAAACGGGTAAGGGCAACTTGGGCCTCGAAAGATCAGAGGTACCGAAAATTGTCGGCCGTCGATCAACAATTTTCAACGGCACAGATGAACGGAGCCACTGACATGCCAGAGGCCCCAAAATCTCCGTCAACTTCGGCGTGCAATGATATGACAGTTCCAGAAAACAAGGGGCAGGCAAGGTCATTTTCGCAGTTGTAGTCTGGACCGTCGATCGGCATGATCCTACGCACGAGGCGCAAGAATCCGGCGAGGCGGTTCGTTGCGCGTCGAGGCCAGGCGACGGGTCATTGCACGCCGAGGCGTGGCGATTCGTTGTGCGTCGAGGTCAACACAGGAAATCTATAAGTTCCGGTGTCGCAGTCATTGGGACATTTTGCAAATGTTAACGGCGTTGGATATACGAAGTCCGCAATCCATTCCAACGCTCGCCATTCACCATCGCCATCGATGCGCTTAGCTCATCGCCATCGCGACGCAAAGCTATATCCCCCATCGCAGCCGCCGCGCTCGCCTGACCATCGCAGCGCTGACAATCGCTATCGCTCCCATCGCAGCGCCGGCCATCGCTATCGCTGCCATCGCAGCGCTGGCCATTGTAACCCATTCCATCGCTGCGCCATCTCTATCATCGTTATGCCATCTCTCTCCATCGTTGCGCCATCGCTCTGCACCGCAGCGCTGGCCATCGCTATCGAAGCCCTGGCCAGTGTTATCCCATCGCAGCGCTGGCCATCGCTATTGCTGATTCGTTGGGCCATCTGTTGCGCGATCTCTCTCCATCGCTGCGCCATCTCTCTCCATCGCTGCGCCATCTATCTCCATCGTTGCACCATCTCTTTCCATCGTTGCGCCATCTTTCTCCAACACGGACTTTCTCCATCGCTGCGCCATTTGTCTTCATCGCTCCTGTGTGAACTCTTCTCCATCGCCATCTCTCTCCATTGCTAATCGCGGACTCTCTCCGTCGCTGCGCCATCTCTCTCCATCGCGCCTTCGCGATCTCTTCTCCATCGCTGCGTGATTTCCCTTCATCGCTCCTGCGCGATTTCTCTCCATCGCTGCACGATCTCCCTCCATCGCTGAATGATCACTCTCCATCTCACTCCATCACAGCACGATCTCTCTCGACCACCGGGCAACCTCCATCCCTGCGCCATAGGATCTCCATCGCTCCTGCGCGATCCCGCCATCGCCATTGTATTGTTGTTTCAGGCCGCCGTCGGTGCAGCCGCCCATCATTGTGGAATCGCACGAAACAAGTGACAGGTATGCTTAACGAAGGTTTAACGCGATGGATGTCACTTTGATAATGGAACTGATATGTGGATCAACATTAGTCAGGCATGAAATGATGTTGTGCAATAACTAATCTTGGTCATCGATGTGCCAACTCTCTCCATCGACGTGCCATCTATCTCCATCAGTGCGCCATCACTAACCATCGTTGTGCCTGCTCTCTCCATCGGTGCGCCATGTATCTCCATCGGTGCGCCATCCCTAACCATCGCTGCGCCTGCTCTCTTCATCGGTGCGCCATCGCTAACCATTGTTGCGCGTGCTCTCTCCATCTCTCTCCACCGGTGCACGATCTCTCCCGACCTTTCTTCATCTATCTCCATCGCTGTGGTATCTTTTCCAATCTATCTCCATTGCCGCGCCATCTATGTCCTTCTATCTCCTTCGGTGCGTCATCTTTCTCCATTGTTGTGCCATTGCTAACCATCGCTGCGCCTGCTATCTCCATTGCTACGCCATCCTTCTCCATTGGTGCGCAATCTCTCTCCCTCGCTGCGCCATCTACCTTCTTCCCTAGAATATACAACGCACGTTCATTATAGTTGTCTTTGGACTGAAAAATGCCCCAAATTCAGCTGTATTGACCGGACGTTGTATTCGGGGGAAGACCGGAACTCCATCCATCTCTCTTGGTGCGCCATCTCTCTCAACCG